TTACAGACTTGGTATTTCATTACATGATGGGTTTGTTAGAACACAATAGCAATTTAACTCTATGTATTAGGTGCCTGATAACTCCGCCCACTTCTTAGTTAGACTGTTCCAAATGTGTGTTGGTGGTAGATTGTAACTACAAATTTAGATGGAGAAAATCAGCCACCGGTTACAATCATGCAATAAAGTAAGAATATCATTACAAATTTTGTGAAGCTGTCATGGATTTACAAAAAAAAACCATTTTGGGGGGGGATTACTTTTTGTTTTAAAGGTGTGTGATCACGTTTAGGGATTTGTTTGGTAACTCAAGGACAACAACTTTATTAATTGTATTATGTACTTTATTAATACATAATTTATCTTGAAATATAGGCAACATCACATAACTCAAATTTTTGGAATAAATATCACAACTTTAAGTTACCACGCTGAGTAAGCCTGAAGATCTCACATAGCTAAACAATATTCCTCTTCATTGTAAAGCAAAATAAAGCAATGTGTGAAGTCCAAGCTTTCTCTATGTATTATGTGGCATTCATAATTTGTACATAAGGAATACATTCTAATCACAGCAATACAACAAATAAAAACATAAAAGGGAAAGGAGCTTTTTTTCGGAGGGAAGAGGACATTAACATACCTTTCTACAGAGAGCTTAAAGGACTTACTTAACATTTTTTCTTTTAATGTACCAGATAGAAAACACTAGATCCTACGTGGCAGTTTGTAAACAGCCTTATGTGCACCCGTCCTATTAGCTGAACAGTTTTGTAAAATTTGTCTTATGAGAGGTTTTTCTGCTTTTACCTGAGATCCCATCAGAATTTCAAATAATCTTGGTGGGTTTGATACTGTAATTGACTGTAGTGGTCTATTACCACAGAATTGTTACTGAATGCAAATGCAAGAATCAAAAAACGTTTTTTTTCTTTCACGGTCACTTAGTGCTTATGTGAAGCTCAATTGTGACCAAAAGTTGCACTAGAGGTGAGCATTACAAATTGAGCCTCAAAAACTTATTTAAATTTCAGTAATAATCCTTATCAACTACTATTTGACAAGAAACAATAATACAGATTAGAAAATCTGAGAAATGCACTGGATTTACGTACTTGATAACTTCTGTTCACATTCACCATATTAGCCTTGAAAACCAAGCAAATCTAAAATTTTGTACTAAGAACTTTGCTAAAATGTACTGTGTATTTCACAGAGATCAAACAACAGGATTAGTTAGGAAACAAAGTACAACAGCGCCATTACCAATCAAATCCTAATTAATTGCTATCATTATGAGCATTCTATAATTCCATTTTATTGGAAAAATGAGCAAATGGAAAATGATTCTTCAAATTCATTCTCCAGAAGGAATTTTCTTATTACAATGGAAAATAAATAACAAAATGCAGAGATTAACATTAAGAGCTTTTAAAAAGTTATTGCAGTTTTATTAATTCATCCAGCCATATCTGTCAAGGCTGGCAAGGGACAGGTAAACTTGAATTTCAGATCTAGAAAGGTAAGAGGCCCGCCCCGACCGAGCTACACGAGCTAGACCCCTTCTTCGACGGTGTGGGGATGGGTAGGGATTTAGCTCGCGTAGCTCACTCCTCGGGTCTCTGCTAGCAGGTCGTTTTTCAGGGTTTGTCGTAACAAATCAATCACAACATTCTAATGGACACTTAGATACTCAAACAAAAGGAAATTATGTGTGCGACGATTTTACAGCCCGATGACCCAAACTTCAATGGCACATTGCCAAGAATGTCAATAGAGCACAATGACTGGTGCAGGCACGAGTGTACGGAGTGCACGTGGGTAAAGTCTCTCAGTCGTCTCTCTTCCTCCTTAGCTTGCCCTCCGTCTGGATGGTCTTGGTGACAAGGTCGACGCACTCCTGCACGGGCGGCTCGCTCTGGTCGGCCGAGTAGTCCATGCCGGCCACCCTGGAGAGCGTGAGGATGTAGGAGCAGGCTATCCGCAGCACGGACAGCTTGGACAACTTCTGCGAGTGCGAGTAGGCGGGCACCGTCCTCCGGAGCGTGTCGAAGGCCGCGCTGATGGTGTGCACTCGCGTCCTCTCGCGCGCGTTCGCCTCGATGCGCCTCTCGCGCGTCATGTTCTTGTAGTTCCGCTGCTGCCCGCCCCCGGGCCCGGCCCC